AGTGGGAGGATGAGATGGAGAGGCCAATCCATTACTGCAGCCATCTACCACTGGAAAGCAATAGCACTAATGATACAGGTTTTCAATAGCTGATTTATATTATCCTGCAGTCAACAAGAACTCATGATTTTGTCACTGTACTGTTTAAAGCAACACTCCCAAATGCTGGCAGGCCCCAAATCTGACCCTCTGTAACGCTGCTGCTGTGTTACGAGGGGGTGAAAACTTAACAACCCCCCACCAGTCCTCCAGAGTATGGTCTGGACAAGCTCTTTGCTTGCTGAGCAGTGGGTCCTCTGAGCCCCCAGTTGTTATGAGGCTCGTTCTGGGGAGTGATTCCTGTTCAGACTCCCTTTGGCTCCACCAGCTCCTCCGGCACCGTGCCACCCAGAGGAAGGATGGAGGAGTTACAGTCCTTACTCAGGGAAATATTGCACTTAAAGTCTCGATGACTGACTGCTAATTTGGTGGTGATTGACAAGAAATGTGTGTTGGTGTCTATAAATGAGAGGCAGTAACTGGTTCCCCTCCTCTTCCTTCTAGTGATACAAGTACTTTTGGCAGCACAGAGGAAGTGCCCGCAGAATCCAGCATGGAGCAGAGCTCCTGAGAGAGAGAGGGCAGCAGCGAGGAGCTGTGTTTGCTGGAGAAAACGTTTGGTGAGCCGCAGGAGAGCCAGCCTGAGCAGGTGGTGGGCACGGCCCCATCCTCTCCTTGGGTTGTGTCAGAATCTGGGAATGGTCACCTCAGAGTGCTCCATCATAGCAGGTCAGCTCAGCCAGGCTGGGGGCTTGGTTTAGGAGGTGCTGGTGGTTCCCAGCAACACGTGCAGGAGGTAAAGGCTGTGTGCAGAGCAGCTGGGAGAGGGGAGTGTAGGTGCAGTGTGGAGCTTTGCACGCTCACGTGGGCTGACCTGCAGGGACCAGCAGTGTCTTTTTGGACTTGTACACACCCTGTTTTCACGCAAATATTCCATGCGGATTTGTAACATGCGATGGCTGCCGTGCGTATTTTACACAGTCACAGTCTAGTGACTGAAGGATCCACTAATTAAGAAGTCCCTAATTAGGCTTTTAAATGATAAACTGTAATAGCTGTAGTGCAGCTGTTGTAAACTATAGAGTAAATTATACCCAGTTGGAAGAGGCTTTAATTACATATTTATATAACATACTTTAAAGTCTTTGAAAGAGAAAAGAATTTTTAGTATCTGCAATTAAAAAAACAAGGGAGTAACAACAGAGCTCTCAAATCAATGAAAGCAAGGAAATTCAAAGTTAATCTGAAAAACTGTGCTGGTACTTTCTTTTATGCTCATGGTGTTCTAAATTTTTGGGGGATTGTTTTTGTTCTTTTTTGTTTTCATGATGGATGAGATAAAGGAGTATTTTCAGAGAGGAGTTTATATCCCCTGCTTTCATTATTCTAGCTTTTATAGGTCCCTATACAGCATTAATGATACTCGCCAAACTTTCTGCAGCTTTGTTTTTGCAGCAATCCTAGCAAGAACACCCTTATCAGCCAGCTTGTCTCCTTGCATTCTGATTTACAGAATGGTTGGTTGGACACATGCCTTTTTGAAGTCAACAGGAGCTCAAAAACTGGTCCTATTTGGGCCTTGGAGACTGTGTTCAGGCCAAATCTAGCCTGCATGTTTTTGGTGCAGTGTTGACAGCCATTCACCATGCTGGGAAGTGGAGAAGAGGGTTTGATGTGTCTGGGACAATTCACCTATTTGCTGCCACCACATATAAGGTACAGACACTAGGCTGTGGTATGCAGAGAGCTCAGTTCCTTTAGCTGCTCTTAGGGACTGGCCTTCCCAGCTGTAGGACCGAGCAGCCCATGACAACCAAGTGAGGTAGTGCTGTTTTGCTTATTCCAACCACATCTAAGTGTTTTTATCTGGAAATGTCACAGTGAGGGAAATAAGGAATACAGTTCTCATAGTTAATTTTTATGGCTGATTAATTAGCCCAAAGAGTATTAAATTGTGCTAATGTAGTTTGCCTCTTCGATGCTGTCTTTTGACTTCAATGGAACTAAATACATGCTTAAAGTTAACTACATGCCTAAGTGCTGTGGTGAATCGGGGCCTAGGGCATTAATTAGAACTTGGCTCAGATTTACTTTCAAGGCTTTCCCCCCCTTTTTTTTTTTTTTTTACTCTTCAGCGCTCAGCAGTTTAATTGGTATGCAGATGTTCCCCTTTATTGCTAGCAGAGGCCTCTGCCACTATTCTGAAGGTACTCAGACATCAAGGCTGGTACAGTGGGCAGGAAGAAACCCCCCCTGAAGGCTTTCAAGCTTTGTGGGAAATAATGATGTATGAGACAGGGATTCCTTTGGAACCTGAAGGGAACATGACAGACAGAATAATATGGGAGGAAAACATTGTCTTCACAATTGAGACTGATGGTCTCATCTTGTCTCCTTGTTATTGTTACCAACCAAGACTGAGATGAGCTTTCTTATGAAGAACTTCATTTTGTGGCAGGTCCTATATGTTGGACACACTGTGCTCGGTGGTAGCTTTCCATCCAAGGTACAGATATTGACAGGCTCTGAGGAACCTTTTGAGGTGGTGGTTTAGCTTAAAACCTAAAATTCCTTCCAGCATTGAGATGCATTTTGTCAGGAATGACAGTTGCAATTTGATAATCTTTTACCACTTTGCCTGCCTATCTCAAACTGCTTGCTGGAGGGGAGAAGCCAGAGTTGTTGGGCACAGGAGTGTCAGCTTTATGAATCAGCTTTTCTCGCACTTTATTAATTTCCCTTTCCAGTGGTTAGTGCATGTTTGCAAGAGACGATTTGTACGGATCTGTGTAGGATGGAGCAAAGCTGGAACTAAAGCAGGAGTGCAAGTTGACAGCAATGCAATAGCTCTAATTGACAGATACCAAAGGCACTACTTAAAGCAACATTTCTTCTGGTGTTTAGGTTAGAAATGACCCTCAATTTGTCCTCAAGTTGCCATGTTCAAAAAGAAGTGTTTTCGTGTATATTCACGTCTAATGGATTAACCAAAATACCAAGTGCTCATTTTCTACACTTGTATTTTCAAGTTAGATGATTCAAAATGCTGTTGTGCAAGGTACAGGAAGATGTCTGCTTCTTAACTCCTCCAGAGTAAAAACTGTCTTTCAGGGGACACTTTGCACATGTGAGATTTGTGCTAGTATTTTTTGGCACCCACAGTTTGCATTTCAGCTAATGGGAGGCAGAAAGACTAATACACATGCTGCATGTTGTGGGTGCAAAACTGCAAACAGAAATTGCACCCACCATGGAAAGGGCTGGGAAAATGTACTTTCTTGGATGTGAGCAGGGCAGGTTAGGAAACATCATCTTCCTTTTACAATTGTCTGTTACTCTTTACATTTCTGGAGAACTGGGATCTTGCTGTTAATCTTACAAAAATAGGTGCTGTGGTGAAGCCTCAGGCATGAATAAAATTGGATGTTAATCTTAAAGCAGATTTTTTACAGCTATGCACTCAGAGCCAGTGAATCCAAATGATTTTGGAAACTCTGTGTTTGTTACTTATTTAGATCAAAATACTGTGGAGAAAGAGGTCAGTGGCACAAGTACATGTGGGGCTTCTAAAAGTTGAGGGGATAAGCACAGCAAGCATTAGACATCTCTGGCTTGACACAAATAATAGGCAAAGCTGAAAAAAGCCTGCTGACAAGAGGTGTGGGTGTTGGTGGGTGACTTGCTGCAGTTTTAGAGCTGTTAAGTGTAGGTTTTTTAGCATTTTCATTATTTAAAAGTGGAGTGGTAGTTTCTTCACTCCCTCTGAAAAGTTACTAATTTACTCTGAAATACAGGGTAAGCCACAATGATTTAACAGATTTGTAATGTGCTTTAGAATGATTTCAAGTAACAGACGCTCTCCTTCTCTTCAAGCTTCCCACTGTCTCAGCTCTGCCCTCACTCCTTTCTCTGTGTACATCTGCACCAAAAAAGCAGGGGCTGCCCCATGCGTGGCTTTCATCTATATCCGGTGTCAGCTGGAGAGCCTGGGTGGCTCTGACCACTGGTGCTCCTGCAGGTTTGCCTCATTCCTGGAGTTCAGAAACAGAGTGGCTGTAACAGGCTGAGTTAGCTACGTTTGGATGTTGGGAATGACATCCTAGACTGTGGAGTGGTTCAAAAGCTGCTGCTCTGCAGATACTGCTGCAGGTGGACAGACCTTCCCTGGAGGAGCCCTGACATGCAGAGGCTGTTTTTTACCTAGTGCCTGCAAAGTGCCTAGCGGAGCATGGTTAAGGACTGTGATTAAGTTTCCCAGGATGCTCCTGGGATACAGGCAGCATTAAGTAATCTGCAGTCTTCTGTGTCTGATTCAGAGGAGGCAGCAGAGTTGTGTTCCTGAGAGCTGTCCAACAAAGCAGGCAGCCTGAAGGGGTGGAAGGTGCTCAAGGATTGTCTCCTGTTGTCAAGCTGAACAGGTCTCAGCTATCCCCCGCTCCGGCTGATTCATGTCCATGTACTGCTGTGCTGAACAGCCATGCCATGGCAGGATGCTCCAGCTGCAGGCCTTCTGCATGGGTGATACTTAAATCTGATGGAGCCTCGCTGAGAAAGAGCTGACCTTGCATTTACTCAGAGAGGTCTCTGGTGGTTTGTGGTAAGGAATTGGGACTTGGGGCTGAAGCCACAACCTCCAAGACCAAACCACAGAATTTACACAACTACCAAGGCCTGCCCATTTGCCTTCCCAGCTGAAGGTCTGTGTCATCACACAGTTGTTGCTCTTCTGTCTGCTCTTGTCATTGTTTGAGGGAAGAATCCATTTGTTCAATATAGCAATGATGTCTAGCTCAGTTTAATTTTCTTGACTGCTGCTGTTTTGTTAATATTCAGTGCGTCCGTGGGTTTGTTTAGTACCAATAACCAAGGGTAGAAATACTTGAATGGAAAGCTAAGTGGAAATGCAGAGGTTCTGGAGGACTTCAGGGTTTCTTTTGCTCTTCTTTGTTTCCCTGTACTAGAAGGCGTGGAGAACACTTGTCCAGTCATAACTGAAACTATTCAAGATGCACAGGCCTGAAATGTCACCTTAAGTTTCTGTTGGTCTCTGATGTGGATCCTGTCTTCTAGCAAACTTTATGGACAACAGCTTTTGTTACAAGGAGAGATGGTAAGTTTGTGCACTCAACTTCTTTTTGGAAGAATATTTTATTGTGAAACCTTTCTTTATCCAAAGGCTTGAACCTTTGATCTGGGAGCTTACAGGGTGGGTAAGTGCAGCTGTATTGGGCTGGATAGATGTCACCCTCAGGGATTCACACACATAACTCTCCTTGGCCTGAACTGGAGAAGGGCCAGAGTTTGTTCACTTTTGCTTTCTGACATTGAGAAAAGTGAATGCTGTTCTACAGAACCTATAATTTCTTCCCAAGTAGATGATGACTAAAGAAGACCTGAGCTGACTATAGATAATCTTATATTTACTGGAAATGAATGTAGCTCATAACTCTTATTTTAGCACCAGTCTGGAACACTACAGTGAACAGATTTATAATGTCTGCCTCTTCCTTACCTTGGCATTCTGGCATTTGTTCACTTATTGCACTGATACTGCACATTCTTGCACTGGTAATTGGGAATTTAATGAAGCCCAAATGAAAGGTGAGGGGGTAAAAGGTAGATACTTTCAGAAACAAAACTATTCCTTTTGTGTGCTCCATAATCTTATTTTAGTTCTTAAATATGGTTTTATTCTTCTGATACTAAGGGTCTCAGCACGAATTTCAGTATATGTGTCATCAGCAGAGTTAATAACTGTTTTAAAAGTTGCATAGTCCTGTGTTCCTGCATTGAAAAGATCTAAATAGGCACTTACAGAAAGGCCTTTTCTGTGTTTATAGAAGAGCAGATTTAATCTGGAAGTCATTGAGATAAACCATTGAAGAACTTCCTTGATGTGATTTTTGGAGTTACTCTGTGGGACTAAATTGCATGTTTTCAGGTACTGAACATAAGGGCACTTGAAACCTTAAAGAAGTTTAAATGTAGATGATAATGAAGATGTTACTGGTCTTTGTGGATCGGTTGATAATGCTGACATACTAAAGTGATATGAAATATGTCTTAGATTTCCTGGACAGTGCTTTACTTTATTGTAATAACATGATCCTTGATATACATTGATGATACATTTACCTTTATAAAAAGTTTTTTAGTAATCCAGTTGCCCTGAAATGCCATATCCAAAGTATGTTTATTACAGAACACAGAGTTGCTGTCTGCCAAGTACTATCTCAATTATAACAACCTAAGCCAAGAAAACACATTTGGAAAAAACGTGCCAAGCAGTGGTGGTGGGGTTTTTTTTGTTTTTTTTGTCTTTTTTTTTAAACATTCATGAATAGTTGGAGTTGGTGTTTCAACTAAATTTCTTTCACCCAGATTATATGCAAATTGCAGGATTCTTCAAGCATAAGTCATATGCCAGAAGTATGGTATTAGCATTTCTTTTAATAAAAATAATTTTGTAATAGGTACCTTATTTGGTGAAGTGCCTCCCTTGTCATTCATCACTGTGTAACATCTCTGTAGAACTGCAGTAACTATAAGGAAGGAAAATACTGGAAAGTGTTTCTTGGAGCTGGGTTTGGCCTTTATGTAAAAAAAAATAAAAGCCGGTTTTTGTTCCTTACTTTGCCCTGTCCTTTTTGTGCTGTTGTGTACTGGAAGAAAACAGTAAAGGTAAGCACTAGATGAGCTGTGAATTCCCTTTGGACTAGACTTTGGGAGTCTCTGCTCTTACACATGTTTTGGTGTTACTTTTTCCTGAGGGGCTTTATTCTCAAGATCTCAGAATATATTCTTCGAATGAGATTTCACATAGTTTGATAAATGTTTGGATAAATTTCATACCATCTTATCAAAGCAGACAATAGTTCTTTCTTGAGAAATAGAGCTTAAATAAAATGCTCATTTATGTTGGTGAGATAATAATTAAGACTACAGATCCAAATCAGTGATTTGTTTTTCTGTTGCAGGAGTAGGCTGAATAAAAGCCTCTGTCAACAACTAGGGCTGAAATACTGAATTAACATACCAAACAGTAGCACACCAGGAGCATAGTCTTCTACTTGGAATAGTGTTGAGCTACTGCTCACAGAAGCTCTGGAAACTTTGTGAGGCTCAGACAAACACAGGGCATCCTCAGACAGCAGGGATGTTGCTGCTCCCTGAGCACTCTATGCTCTGTGTTCATGGCTGATGGAAATATGCCCTGTTTTGAGGGAGCTTGGTGGTATGGGAGACAGTCACAGATGCTCTAATAGGATGGCTTATTGCTTCCTTGTGGAGCAAGGTAGAGCTGTTCTCTTTTGAACCTGCAAAACTGGTATAATATTAATTAGACTCTCATCAGGTTGCACTAGTGAAGCCTCATAAAACGAAAAAGGAAAGGCTCTATAGTGATGCTGAAACTTGGTGTGTCATTTATATGAAGTGAGTAAGCAGAGATCAGTAGCCATGAAGACACTGCTTCTCTGGAAATATGAAATATTTAGGTAAAATATCTAGGTAAAATCTGAAGGGAAATTTGATTACTGCCTGATAAAATGGTGCTTCTTCCCTTCTAAATAGGTTTGATCCTCTCCTTAATGCAAGCCCCACACCTTCACCTAGATTCCTTCCTGGGCAGCTGCAGTGGATCTGAACACCAAGGGAATTTGACCCACTGGATTCCTTTCCTTTCTCTGCAGTTGAATGAAAAGTGTGTGTCTTTTGAAGAACAGCAACTGAAAGAAATATTGATGACTGCCAGAGCATCTACAGAAAAGGATAAGAAAATTACTACAACAGTGGAGACAAAGGGGCTTTGTTAACTCTTTCTAGTAGGTTGTATATATTAATAGAAACAAGTAAAGTTTTGTATTTTTTAAGAGAAACACACAAGGCTTTGAACTGTATTGTTTTAATTGCAGCTAACTGAATGAATTAAGTGGTAAATTGCACACAGTACTTTGATTGTCTAACTCTCTGTATGTGAGGCTTTGGGAACAGTTTGTTATTATAAAAGAATAGTACTAACAAGAAAACAGCCAGCATGTAATTGCTGGGTTGAGGGGCAGTTTGGGGAAGGCTGATACTTATTTATAAATTATTAAATAAAAGCACATAATAAGTGGATCATCTCTCACTGCCTCCACACTGCATACATTACTCATCTTCCTAAATTTCATCTTTTTGTACTCCCTTAGTCCATTGCTTCTTATAACCAATGCAGGCATCAAAACCACCCACGTCCAGGAAAGGAGATGCCTGTGCATTTGTTATGATGGCAGTTTTGGTTATGGGACTCATCTAAGAATATGAACATTCAGTTCAAGGACAGAAATTTTGACTGGACTTTTAAAGGTTGTTTTACATGCCTAAATACACACGAGCACCTGGGACTCTTTTCAGGTAGCTTAAACTCTGACCAGTGTTTCAACTTGACTAGGTACCTTTGCTGATTTACAACCAGCCTCTACCCTAAATGGAAGGACTGAAGAGCAATTTGGGCATTAAATTTACCAAGGTTCTCAAAAACACATTGGTTATGTAATTCCCATCAATTTTGGTAAGAAAGAGGTAACTTCTGATTATCTTGTATTGTTCTCACTGCTCACTAGTGCCTTATTACCTTAGGAAACACAGCCACTTGCAAGACACAGAGAGGAGGTCGGTGGTGGTTGGGCTCACCAAGAAGGTAGAACAGTATTTCATCCTCAATGTTTTTGACTATTTCAGCCCTCCTGGAGGATGGAGTTGCCATTCGTTCCTCCAGTATAAATTTGAGGGCTGTCTTCTTGGCTGTCTTCTAGGAAAGCAAGCTGTCTCTGTCTCAGAGGACCCAGTTGCTAACCGGTTGCACTGACACATAAGCAGTTCTTCACATGCCTATGTAACGAGGGGGTGGGTAATGTCCTGGACTCACAAGTGAGGTGCATGTCCTACAGACTGAGGGAGCATCATCTGGAGATGGAAAGGTGTGCCAGCACCTGGATAGCTGGCTCTGCTGGACACATCTTTGAGCTTGCTGTGCTGCTATTATACTATGACATTCATGCTGTATAAACAAACCACACTGTTAAACCACTTAAACAGTGTTTATGCAACTTTAAAATGGTAGAGGCTTAATTTTTTACTTCATCCACAGGCTTATTAAAACTTACGTGTCCACACTGAAATGGTGTGAAAAGATTCAATTGCTAATCCTGGCTACCAGCCTAGCTGATGTGAGACTGTTGCACAGAAGGTGCCTGAGAGGTGGAACTGGGCAGAGTTTAGTTTGCATAGCTGTTGCCAAAGAGTTGCTTGGTATCCCTGTCACTGTTTTTTGAAGTCCAAAAATATTTTCCCCCAAATAATAACCTATTTTTTCTGCAAGAGAACACAGTTGCATCTATGAAAGGTCTTGGCTTTTACAGTAAGTCTAGTTTGTATAGTTTCCTCTCTATATGTATGTTGTCTGCAGAATTACCAACAGTCATAATGAAAAACACAGTTCTGTTACAGGAGCTTTCAACAGTGGTTTTTAGTAATTTAGAAAATATTGGAGCTACTTCCAACAAATGAAAAAAATCGAAGCAGCTTTGAAAATGTTGATACGCTTAGGGAAATAAATCTTTGGTTTTAGCCCTGCTCTGTTATTCTCTCTCTGATACTAAACCCAATATAAAGCACTACTGATTTCAATCAGCTCAACAGGGGATACTGTATGGCTTCCACCCCACTGTTCCCTGGGTTGGGGGACTAAATCTCAGCTGTGAACTCGTACAGCTTTGGCTGGGTTTTATGGGACAACCTCTCTTCAGCCTTTGCGTGCACTGTGAAAACTGTCCTCGTTGCACCTCTTTTTCCAGCACAATGTGGGAAAGTTCCTGGATTAAATTCTCCTCTATCAGAAAACTTGTATGGGAGGTGCTCAAAATGTAAGGCCTTTCAAACCCTTGTGAGTTTGCAGCATTTAAAGATAAGATCACGGTATTGCCAAGAAATGTGTCTTGTTGAGGCCCACAATTAACTTTATCAAAAGAAGGAATCTTTTTTTTGTCTGCTGTGGATAGAGGTTGCATCTCAATGCAGCCTAAAGTTAAAGATAGATATAGTGTCTGGTTCAGATCACGATACGATGAAAGATTCAGGTTAATTAGTATTTATTCTTAGTTTATACTTTATTCCTTTTGGCTTGAGCTAACAAGCAGGAGCTGGAGCCCCACAAAGTTGTGTCTCCTGGGATAAGAGATGAATGAAGGAGACGGTCTCTGTGGCAAAAACATATTTAGGGAGATGGGAATGTCAGTAAGAAAGACTGGCCATTGCCTTGGGCTCTGATAGCCCACAAGGGAGGATGCTCTGAGGGATGGCTCAGTGCCAGCAGGGAAGACTGAGTGTAGGCATGGACTGAGGCATCCCACGGGTCCATGGAGAAGGGGAGGTGTCCCAGGTCCCTGCCTCATCCAGTGCCCTCACACCTCCATGTCCACACAACCTCTGTCCAACCATGTCCACACAACCACACAACACCACAGTGTAAGTGCAGCCGTTCATCTTAGATAGAGCTATTTTCCTCCTTATGTCTCCTTACTGCTTCCACAGACAGAAGGAGCCCACTGGCTGGAGAGAAGCACTCCTCACTTTTTTGGTTCCCATTTTTACACACTCTTTTTTCCCCCTCCATTTGTGTTCATTTGAAGTTGAGATGTTTCTAACAGGATCTCCTGTGTATTTGAGCAGAGCACCTCTTTTACAGTAACCTCATGGGCTGTTTGTACCCTCAGGCACTCGAAGAGTGGGGGGAATTCTCTGGCTTTGCAGGTTCCAGTGGCCTGGGCAAGGGCAGACCCATGGTGGGCAGGCTCTGGGGCTCCTGCCCTGCAACCATAGGGCTGCACTTTCCTGCTGTCCGACACGACGGTCTGGTTGCCCCCAGCAGGCGAGGCTGTTGGTATGAAGGGCTATGGGGAGGGCATTCCTGAGGGGCTGCGGAGATGGCGGGCAGGCTGTGGGTGTCACTGGGCTGAGGCAATGGAGGTGATGGTGGGCAGGCTGTGGGTGCCTCTTGTCTGAGGGGATGGAGGGTGGGCTGAGGGTGTCACTGGGCTGAGGCGATGGAAGGTGGGCTGAGGGTGTCATTGGGCTGAGGGGATGGTGGGTGGGCTGTGGGTGTCACTGGACTGAGGCGATGGCGGGTGGGCTGAGGGTGTCACTGGACTGAGAAGCTGGTAGGCTGTGGGTGTCACTGGACTGAGGGGATGGCAGGAGGGGCTGTGGGTGTCACTGGACTGCGAGGCTGGCAGGCTGTGGGTGTCAATGGGCTGAAGGGATGGCAGGAGGGCTGTGGGTGTCACTGGGCTGACGCAATGGTGGGAGGGCTGTGGGTGTCACTGGGTTGATGCAATGGCGGGAGGGCCATGGGTGTCTCTCGGCTGCCATCATGGCATGGATGAAATCAGGCAGCTTTTACCTTGTGGGCATGGCTGCACAGGCCAGCCAGTGTACGTAGATTTGTGACTTCTCCCTTGCCCTCCTTTCTGGAAGTGTTTCCTTCAAAGTCTCAACAAGACCTAAGTTCAATTTCCTTAACATGCTTTTGACTCTTTCTGCCCCCAGGCCCTGGGGAGGCACTGGCCCCTGCAGCTGCCTCAGCCAGGCTGTGAGATGAGGCTGAGCTTGCAGTCCCCCTTCCTGATGCTTCTGTTTACAGGGGCCTCTCTGAGGAGCTGTGGGGTTCAACAGAGATAAGATAGCACAAACTAGGTTTTTGGATGCAAGTTCACTTGCAGAAGGGTGGTAAAAGGGCCTTCAAACTTGCATATAAGTAAAATAGGGGGTAATTCTCCCCTGGAAACACCATAGCAGTCTCTGAAGGGATTCCTGAGAAGCAAACTCCAGCCTCAGAGTGAGGTGCTGGGCTTTGCAAAACCATGGTCTCTCACTTCTGCAACCTGTGGCAGCTAAGCAGGAGCCTTGGTGAACAGAGCTTGTTGCTTTTAGCACATGAAAATCCTAAGCTTAAAACAACCTATGTATAAAAAATGTTGAGAACACCAATTTCAGTGCTTATGTCACCATAAAGAAACTACTAAAATAAGGAAAAGCAGGAAAATGCTTAATTGTGGAGCTTTATTACGTCCTGCTGTGCTGGCGATGAAGACCTATCACCTCCTGCAGCCTCTGCAATGAGTCTGACTTCTCTGAGAGAGCACAGACTTGTTCCAGGGTTGAACATGGACATAGTTGTTGAGTATTAATGTCTAATTATTATACCTGATTTTCAGAGTGAGCCTTTCTTTCAATATGAAATGTATATTTTTACCCTTTTCTGAACTGTTGTTTCAGACATTGTACAGGTTCAAGATGACTATATTGAATGTTAGTAGGTACATACTGAAGAGGATGGGGCTGAATTCACTTTTTGAAATAGCTCTTTTACCACAAGGATTAATATCTAGTGCCTTCCTTTTAACTGATGGCTTTTATTCTGTAGTATAAATTTCTGGTAGTGTCTCTGGAGTATATTTGTAAGTATATTTGCCAAAGTTATATATTGAATAATTCCTCTATTTCCAGAATGCCTGAAATGACCACATACAGAATGTAATTAAAAATGAACAGACTACATTATTCTGCTTTTCTATCAGCTTTTTAACATCATACTAGGAAATACCTTTTCCTGTCTTATTACATTTTCTATATAAATTAATGTCATTGACATGAAGAAAACAAGCATATTTAATGAAGGGGATTGGCTAAAACTATTAATTTGTGTTAGAATATTATGAAGCATTATTTCCACACCACCAGCTGTTATGGAACCCAACCAATCAAATATCATGGGGAAGCCTGTGTTTTCTAGTATTTGGGGTGTATGGAAAGGAAAAGATTATAGAAGAGACTTTTTTCGTGGGGTATTGACTGGTTGACAATATATAAGTCAGACCATATATATTTTTCTGTCCTCTGATGGCTGGTCAGAATTAAGCAAAAGATGTCTTGGAAAAGAAAGATGTTTTAGACTCCCAAACGTGATTAGTTTTCACCTGGTGATTATCATATACTCAGCTCTTTGATTTAAGCCTTTGATGGAGTTTCCACTCCAGAGAAGTGGAGCATGACTGAAGCAGAGATTGACACTATGGCAGGTTTT